TTGAAGAAGCCTTTGAAGTAACGTTTGGGTTAGTCTCTTAAGCTTTTACACGGGAAAATGAGGCGCCGTATCGTTCTCCATACAAATTCCAATGGATGTTAATAAGCACTTTAAGTGAAACATTTACTCACAGCAAATAAGCTTTGTCAAAAAAAATCAAATACAACATGTAATCAACCTCGACCCGAGCTGCTTTTTATCTATTTGATCCGTTTCCCAAGCTCTTGCGAGTTGTGCCTATTTAAGAGAGGGTTCAATATTACATAACAAGATGGGAGTTTTAAAATTATAATCAGTAAGACTTTTCTTTTTGTTGGCTTCCGTGCCACTGAAAAACTCTCATACATAGTTTGAACAGGGCCCTGCTTGCAAAATATTGCAGTGAAGGATTGAAGGGAAATAACGTTGCGCATCAGGAATTCAAAAGAAACGCCACAGCTGAATGTGTTTACAGAGAGTTTGAACACAAATATGATGTGTTTTGGTGGGTGTGAAAGTTTCTGTTCAACTCTGACACTTGCAGTCACTTCTTGCTTCTTTAAAGTCAGTTTTAAAAAATGTCTTAAAGGGGCACTCTCCACCGATTTGCTTCATCCTAGAGAAACTTGGCGAGTCAAAGGCTATGTTCACACTACCAGGTTCAAGTGGCCCAAATCAGATTTTTTGCCTTAATGTGAATCACATCTGATGTTTTTCAGAGCTGTGTGGACACACAAATCTGATATTTTCAAATCCGAACTTGAGCCACTTTCATATGTGGTCCTAGATCAGATACATATCCGATTCGTGGCCTTGCCACCTTAATGTGAATGCTCAGATCCACTGCACATGCAGCATCATTCAGAGCTACTCTGGCAGCAGCGCCGAACAGAAGTTAAAGCCTGTAAATGGTGGAAAAGCAACACCTCACCCTTTTCGCCTTCGTCTCGCTCCAATAATGAACAGCTGAGAGCTGATCAGAGTTAATTATCTTCACAGTGAAGGTTCGTTCTGCTCGTTAGTTTGTTTGCTGATGATGTACGTGACGCACGTGATTCATTCACGTGACATTACCGAGTAGGATGTGCGCATGCAGGTCATTTCAGGATGCCGGTTCGTTCACATTAATGACAGATTTGAATCACGTACCTAAACGAGTGTGAACCATCATGTCAGAGAAATCAGATTTGAGCAAAAAATCGTATTTGAGCAATGAGGCTTGTAATGTGAACGTAGCCAGAATTGTTCAAAGTGGTCGTGATAGGAACCAGATGAGTTTAGACGACTTCTAAACAGAAGAGTTTAATGCCTCTAAAAGCTACATTACGTAAAGTTATTACGTGAAATGGGTACGAATACACAGCCTGATGTCTGAGGCACTGCTTTGATGATAGTTTTGAGAGAATATGTTTGCCTGTTTTTTAAAAGCCATTCATGATGGAGAGATAAGTGCAGGTTGTTGTAAGACAAAATAGTCCCACAGTTGGTGAATTTCTCCAGGATGGAGTATTTCACATCTGCATGACTTTGCTTACATCTGCCTGAATCAAAGTGCAGAAATTTGGAAATACTCGTTCCTTTTTAAGGCCGATCAATAAAAGACGGGAGTGGCACTATAAGACATGTTTACATTGTGTCCATTTATAGAAAGGCCTTTTTGAGCCATACCAATAATGTGCACCAACCTTCATATTTTCTGTCTTTTCACCAATAACATTCCCAGATCAGAACGTCCAGTGTTTACAATAAAAGGATAAGTTCCTTCACTGTATCTAATACCGTTGCATGCGAGTCACTTTGCACGGATGACTGCGTATTCATCAGTACTGTAATTGGCCTCTTTTAGGCTTCCTTCACACGGGCCTTGATCCAAGAAGATTGGAAATGTGCGCAAAGCGTAAACACAGCGTAAAGGCCTGCATCCACATGAGGGATTAGCTGAAGGAGAAGAATCCTTCAGGGCCATGGCAGTGAATTAAACATAAAAACATTAATACTCAGAATACAACATGAGTGTGTTCCTGTGAAACACCCACCCATCTTTAATTCTGCATGGCATCACTCTGCATAACGACTGAACAGAAAATGATAGAAGCTTGTAAATACATGATGGCTTTAAATCCACAAAAAAAGCAAAAAAATAAATAAATAAAATAACTTTTTTTGTTTAATTGTGCAGAACATGCCTGTGTTGTCATGAGACTAAATTTTTTGTAAACTACACTAGTGCTGTTTGATTATTAATTTTTTTATTTGTATCATTATTTTAGATTCATTGCTTGTTTATCATCTCTCGTCATCATACTTTGGTACAACACACCAAAACACACCAAATATTTCATGAAAATCCTTAAGTGCTGTTCTTTAAATCGACAAACGCCATAATATACCCTGAAAGAAACATGCACACGCCTGTGCTGTTACACACTTATTGAGATTGTGACATATACAAAAATAATAAATACTGAAAACATTTATTTGCTCTATATATAGCTGCCATAAGTATGAACTTGTTAATATGTTTCCTTAATATTTAGCTGAACTTCGCATGTCTTGTTCTCATCCATGTGGTCAGCTACCTTAGAAAGTTAGCTGTCAGCTGATCAGCTTTGCTTTCACCGGAAGATAAGCAGTCACAAGAAACAAACGAGTATCCTGTTTTTAGTCACATATATTGTGGCAAGCAGCAAAAAATAGACTTGAAACTAGAGCTGGGCGATATGGCCAAAAATGTTATAGTGATAAACAAAAATTCATATCGTTCGATATCGATACATACCGTGATAAATATCAAATCATTATTTCTTTCAAGTTTGAAGAAGATCTTTGCTCCTGGGTGGTTAATTCCTGTTTTAAACTATCCTTTATGGTCAGAACATGACAAACACTTGCCAAACAGTGGAACATTGCACAAATCCGTCATGGGAGAGTGAGAGAAAGTGTCTGATGAGCTGTTTTTATCAGCTGGAAAAGCACAGCCTCAATTTTTTAATAGTCATAATTTAAGAAAGAAAAAATTATTTTAGCTGTCTGGTGACGAGTGCTCAGCTACCCCGTTACAAATGCTAAACAAGTGGCCAACAACAGTGCTAAACTGTTTATTTTCTCAACAATGTCAACTTAGTACAAACAGCAAACGTTAGCTGGGTCGGTACGTCAGTGATGGATCACACTGCCTTACTGCCATCACTCCCACCACATCCATATCAGAGCATATCACAGTATTCAAACACCAGCTAGCGACGACTGGGCTTCTCTATAGTAATTTGAGGGGTGAACCGCAATATATATAACACCAGACCAACGGATCGTTTTAGATATGTTTAAACTGAAATTGGTGCTTTTGTGTCTTGTTTCATCTACAGTATCATCACCTTGCCGTGCTGTGCGAGTGACAGAGCGCTGCTTCAAGTTAGTCAGCTGCTAAAAACAGCTAGCCTGGAAAGATAGCGTTTCCCGCTTTCCAATGCCTCACAGCCTCCTCAGTTTACTTTTGTTTAAATCAGGGCTGTAATTTACATGAACCCTCTTCTTTCTTTCACTTTCGTTACTTGGGAATGCACTAATACTTAAATATGACTTATTGAACGCTGTAACAGCGCTGAAGTTGTGGAGCAGACGTGATTTAATGCTGCTAAAGCTTGTTAGGATGTACGGAAAGAGGTGAGTTCACTTTAGGACGGTACAGTTACTCCACTTATCTCGTCACTTATACTTGGTCACAGGAGAACAGATCTCCGGTCGCTCCACTCAAACGGAATGTATAACTCCACGTTTCAGAAGTGCACCCTCTCTTGGCGACAGCAGAGTAGTGTTGCTTTCCTTGCAATAGAAAACGCCACCAGGGCTTTCGCTAGAACGTGGAAGTGTGAGAATGGTGTATTATATCGAAAATTTATCAAACATTTCTTATCGCTCCATCGAGGAAAAGTTATATCGCGATAATTATCGTTATCATTTTATCGCCCAGTCCTACTTGAAACTTTTAATCTCGACAACCCCAAATTTTATGATTTTATTTGGAATCATTAAACTCTGCCCATTTCCTTGCAGCCCAGTTGTCCCCATACTGCAACCCTACTGTTCCACCAGGGCTGAAAACCACTGCTGTTGAGAACTCTGTTCTGTAGCCTTTGACTTTACAGGGCAGGACAGAATGGGCAGTTGGAGCACCAGACCACTAGGGGTGCTACGTCTCTGCCAGTTTATTATCTACGTCTGCAACAGCTAGCTAACAAAGTCATTGACATTTTTTATTTATAAAATAACGTTATTTACTTAAACAATAAAACACTCTATAATGTTTATTATGCTAGGCTCAATCCTCAGTCATTCTGACAGATTGCAATACCCTACAGGAAGCACAGGGGGCGATATGGCATCTGTTGTTTGGTTGCAACATCATAATGGCTCGTCACCCGTACTTGGCGAAAAAGATTCTGACTCTGAGTTATCATGATGGTGGATTATATTGCAGTATCATATTCCTAACATATTGTGATTCCAACACACCCTCCAATATATTAAAAACAGGTTGATAAATCAATAATGTGACATGGTTTAAGATTGACATTCTTTATTTTGACCAAAATAGTTTGCTTTTGTTGAATTACACTCACACTAACTAATGTGGAAGCAATTGGTCAGGGTGATCACAGTACACAGTAAAAAGCATTCTGATTGGTTAGATGGCTCATTTGCATATTGCAGCCTTCTGCAAAGGCCAGTATCCTGATACTGATTAACAGGGTGTACATTGTGCAGCTCTTATGATAAATAGACAAATAATTACACATACTACACATGATTGCCCATACGCACAATGCAACATCAGTGTCAGATGTGTTAGAACACAAATGTGCAGTGCTTTTGTGTATATCTTGTGGATTTTGTCACATGTTGTCAGATTTATTTCCAATAAAAAACCTGCTCAGTAAGGCCTTCTGAAGTCGTGCTCAGCCTGGATGTATCACTGAACTGAAAACTCTCTTTGACACGCTGCTATTTCTGGCCCCCTGCAGGTTCTACTGGGACTTGATAATGCTCATCATGATGATGGGGAATCTAATCATCATTCCTGTTGGAATAACCTTCTTTTCTGAGCAAACCTCCACCACCTGGCTGGTTTTTAACGTGGCCTCGGACACCATCTTCCTGGTGGACCTGGTCATGAACTTCCGCACGGGCATAGTGAACGAGGAGAGCTCCGAGATCATCCTTGACCCCAAGGTCATTAAGATGAACTACCTGAAGAGCTGGTTTGTGGTGGATTTTCTCTCCTCCATCCCGGTGGATTATATCTTTCTAATTGTAGAGAAAGGCTTTGACTCGGAGGTGTACAAAACGGCCCGAGCGCTGCGAATCGTCAGATTCACCAAAATCCTCAGCCTGCTTCGCCTGCTGCGGCTGTCCCGCCTCATCAGATACATCCACCAGTGGGAGGAGGTAGGACCAGTGTGTGTGTGTGTGTGTGTGTGTGTGTGTGTGTGTGTGTGTGAGAGAGAGAGAGTGTAGGAACGAACACAGGTGAAGGAGGTTTTATTTGCCCTTATCTGTGTTCTCATTTATTTTAAGCTGGTGTGTAACAATGTTGATGTGAATTACGATTATATGGGTAATTATATACATATAATGCATACAGGACATATTATTATGATTATTATTATTATTGTTTATAGGTACTAACATTAAATGTACATTTAATACATACAGGACATGTAATTATTAATACATATAGGTACTTACATATATGTAATATAGGGCACATTATTATTATATATAGACACATATAAGCTCACTGGTGTGTGACAAAGTTGATGTGAATTATAAATATACATAGGTAATTATATACATATAATACATGTAGAACATTATTATTATTATATACAGGTTCTGTCATACTGGACATACCGGACATTGTATAACTGCACACATATTTATATGTGTATGTATATGTACATATGTATACATATGTACACACACATGTATGTGGGCACTACACGTAGGCACATTATTACACATAGATAATGACATTACTTATGTGTGTATATATATATATATATATATATATATATATATATACACATACACACACACACACACACACATATATATATCCATCCATCCATCATCTAAACCTCTTATCCTTCTGGGTCGTGGTGTGGTGCTGGAGCCTATCCCAGCCTTCATTGGGCGGGAGGCAGGATACACCCTGGACAGATCGCCAGTCCATCGCAGGGCAGACAGACAGACATACATGCTCACACCTAGGGGCAATTCAGCATGTCCAGTTGGCCTGACTGCATGTTTTTGGACTGTGGGAGGAAACCGGAGTACCCGGAGGAAACCCACGCAGACACGGGGAGAACATGCAAACTCCACACAGAAACGACCCTGGTCACCCAGCCGGGAATCAAACCCAGGCCCTTCTTGCTGTGAGGCCCACTGCGCCACCATGCCCCACACATATATATGTGCTGTTTAATTTGATATTCGCTGTAGTTTGTTTGCTTCAGACACCGAACATGTCTTGGCTGACTGACTTGGGGATAAAGGGGAAGCCTGTGTAAATTAGATTTTTCATCACACGATCACTTAAAGGTACGCTTCTTTCAGCTGGACTGATCTGCTGTATACAGGCCTTCAGTGAGCCAGAGCAGAAAAACAACACACAGGGCAAATGCTCTGTTTACATGTTTACTTTACGGTTCACCTTGGATTGACCTGCAGAAAATCCTGCCTTTTTTCTCTCCGCTCTGACCAATTGGCTGATAGCAGCACCATAGCTTGTAGTAGTTCCTGCTGGAAGCTGATCTGACTGGCCATTGTTTAAAATTGTCCAAGCATGACCATAGCATTTCCACTGTTACTGTCTGTCACTGTCTTCCATGATACGAATAGCAGGTTTTGCTGGTTATTTAAAACATTTTGAAATGAAGCCTTTGACAGGCAGTGTGTGTAGCTTAGCACCTTGTCAGTGAGCGTGCAAAATGCCCCTTAAATCATATAGCATTCACACTCTGGTCACTCAGGCTCTGTTTCACTGGCAGTGTCCCAAGGCCAGGCAGGTAGACCTGGAGGAGCAATGCGTCAGCACTTGTGACTGAGCCTAATTGAAACATGGATACATCTATCTCTCTCTCTCTCTGGATGACTAATACAAACAAATGGTGCCGGAATGACTGGCCAAGACTAATCAGTGTCACAGCATTGCACTGCAGACACACTGCTACATGAGCATCAGGGTGGACGGGGAATCTAAACAATATCGAAAGCTGTCTTTAGGCAACAACCTGTAATCTTTAAATCAGATTAGCATTTTTTATTTACCTATACAGCACTGAGCCTGTGATTCAGGATGGCCACCTCTATTGGTCTTAGCTATGAAATATAGTTACTTTTGCCCAGTTTTTATATTCAATACAGTGTCAGCAAATACATAAGCAGGTTGAGATTACTTAAAGGGGAACTCCACTAATTTTTTAAAAAAAAACTGCGTAGTTAAATGTTTGAGATGGAAATGTCATTCAGAGTGGTTTGATGTGAAATGCTTCGTTCTAGAGAAACTTACCGAATCAGAATTGTTAACAGTGGTGGTGATAGGAACCAGACGTCTAATAGTTCAACCTCACAAAAAGTTATTACATGAAATGGTTACTAATACATTTCCTGTTGCCTGGGATGTTTTACAGCATTTCTGAGATAACGTTTTTGGCCTACAACATAATTTTTTCAATCCATTCATGTTGATTCCATTCAGTAATACACATGCAGAGTGCTGTAAGGCAGAACAGCCTATTTAGATTTACTACTATTTTACCATCATGAACATTACATGTAAAAGCTTGTGTAGGTTCACTGGTGCTTTGGATTTCAGATAAAATGGCTATATTAGTGTTGTAGACATTGTGTGGTTCCTGTTACCGCGACTGGGACGAAGCATTTCAACTCAAACCACTCTGAAGGACTTTGTTTACGTTTTAACCATTGAAGTTTGTAGAAATTTAGAAAAATCAGTGGAATTCACATTCAGTAACTGTTTCATAAGCTTGTTTGCTTCGTTAGCCTCACAGTTCCAGTGCAAAACTAAAGAAACAAACTTGTCTTGGCTGATTGACTACTTTTGGAGTTTGCGGTGGGATTGTGCAAAATAATTTTTTTTGCAAAACTATCACTATGAAAGTGCTTCAATGCATATGTATATATCCAGTATCAACTTGCTGTGTGTTGCTGCATCGTTGCGGTAAGACACACTGCAGTGTCCTTGGTCAGGAAGCTCAGGCGGCCGTGGAGATTTTGGCCTTTTGGCTCAGTAGCTCAGGGAGCTATAAACTCTATCCTGTCTTCCCTCTGCACCATGACGTAGATGTTTTAATTGTGCCTGAGGTGCATATGTCCCTATATGCACGTATTCCTGCACTGGAATTTCAATACCAATGCCAAGTGTATTACAGTTCTCGATACTGACAATACTAAGGCAAAAGGTTAAAACACTTATCACTGCCTGAACACCATACGTTTATTGGCAACGTTATTTACTGTCATTCAAAATGACCACATTATATAATGTGATGCTTTTTTAAAGAGACATTATCAGTGCTTTTGTCGTGCGTGCAGGTCAAAGTTATGGGGTAAAATCTCCACAGATGTCCAGTACTGCACCTGAGAGGGTGACCAAGAGCGATGAACCTTGTGGAACCCAAACTGAACCACCAGCTAGATTCCTGTATTGCTGCATATGGTTATCGTGAAGCACCTTGCAGTTTTGAATGCATTATTTTGACCAAAATAATTTAATCTTGTTGGAAAACATTGATTCATCCCCCACAGAGACAGGCTGTATTGCAAAGGCCAGTATCGCGATAATGCTTAACAAACGATGTATTGTGCAGCACTGGTGTATGTATTTATTACTTTTATTTATTACTTGACACAGTAGGTGTGTGTTTTTGTTCCCGGGCTATGAAGACGTGTGTGTGTGTGTGTGTGTGTGTGTGTTTCCATGTTTGGTGAGGGATGTGTGTATGTGTGTGCTCCCAGGGCTTGCAGTGACATCAGTGTTCATGTGTTCATGTGCTTTCCTGTTGCCAGGGTGTGTGAGCTCTGGACTCAGTAGTGAGGTTTGTCTGTCATTTTGAGTTGCTACACACACACACACACCCCAACCTTCTCCAGCTCCACCTGTTTTGCTACTTCTGTGGATTTGTTTTCACTATTGGATCTAATCATGGACACAAATCGAGCTGATTACAGCTGTGTGTGTGAAATTTATCAGCTTTAAAAACAGATTTCAAAATTAAATTTACACAGTTTCCCTCTCATCCCAAATGTAGTCAGTCAGCCAAAACATGTTTGATGTCTGGAAACACCAGAATATCCATTTTTCTGGCTTGAGCCTTGAACAAAGAACATAGGGAGCCAAACTGCCAGTTAGTTGTGGTTGTTTTGTTATGCATGCAGCACATGTGTGTTTGGGTGGATTGGTCTAACTCGTCTATAGGCAGGTCACAAGCTCTGTGTTATTGGGTTAAATGTTCCCACTTAAAACATTAGATAACATTGTTTATAATGTCGGATATTGTTAAAACTGCAGCTCTTGTGATTTGAAGGCTCTTTCAGATCTTTCAAAAGCACGTAAGCAAGTCTATTAGAGACTACTTAACAACTCAACACTACCTTCTACCTAAACTGTGATAACATACTGGAGTCAGTGGCGTGCATTCTTTGCTTCGTTGGTGCTGTGTGCAGGTAATGTGATTTGAGTGCTGCTATTAGCTTGTTAGCCTATTTCTAACTTTCAGACTGAATGAATCTTAACATTGCAAGCAATGCTGTCTTTGCAAGTGGCATGAAAAAAACATCATAAAAGGCTGGAAAAGCTGACATGACAAAACAGTAAAACAGTAAAAAACTGCAAAATGCAAAATTGAAAAGTGAAATCATCTTAAATCTAGATATTTCAAGACATTCCATACCTGTTAAACAGTTTTATGTGGTGTAGTTTTGTAGTTTTACATAATTTGATGTAAGCAAAAATAAGCGAAATTATCTGTATTATTTCTTGAAACAAGCAAAAGTATCTGCAAGTGGAATAAGAACATTTAACAAGATATTGCTGCTATCAGAACAAAACCTTATATCTCCAATTTTGTTGTTTTTCAGTATTTGACATCATTTGAAAATGCCTGTTGCCCTTTACATTTTGTGTAAATTTCATGATGAATGGACCAAAGGAAATGACCTAAAATTGCTTGGACAAAAGTCTGGTTCCATTGACTTACATGAAAAATAAAGTATGTTTTTTGCTTCTTCCCTAAAGGGTTTCTTCTGACAACAGCGATATACCTACTTAAGACAAGTTGAAATGTCTAGAATTAGGTTGAATAATCTTAGAACCTCATTATGAAAGGTATTGTGTACATTTGCAAGATCCAATATCATGATGA